GGACAGACTCTCCCACCTCAGCTGTAGTTCTCTGCAGTTCATCCAGAGTGATCATGGGCCTCTTGGCTGCATCTCTGATCAGTCTTCTCCTTGTCTGAGCTGAAAGTTTAGAGGGACGGCCAGGTCTTGGTAGATTTGCAGTGGTCTGATACTCCTTCCATTTCAAGATGATCACTTGCACAGTGCTCCTTGGGATGTTTGAAGCTTGGGAAATCTTTTTGTATCCAAATCCGGCTTTAAACTTCTCCACAACAGTATTACGGACCTGCCTGGTGCGTTCCTTGGTCTTCATGATGCTCTCTGCGCTTTCAACAGAACCTTGAGACTATCACAGAGCAGGTGCATTTATACAGAGACTTGATTACACACAGGTGGATTCTATTTATCACCATCAGTCATTTAGGACAACATTGGATCATTCAGAGATCCTCGCTGAACTTCTGGAGTGAGTTTGCTGCACTGAAAGTAAAGGGGCCGAATAATTTTGCACGCCCCACTTTTCATTTTTTTATTAGTTAAAAAAGTTTCAAAAATCCAATAGATTTCGTTCCACTTCACAATTGTGTCCCACTTGTTGGTGATTCTTCACATAAAATAAAAAATTTATATCTTTATGTTTGAAGCCTGAAATGTGGCAAAAGGTTGAAAAGTTCAAGGGGGCCGAATACTTTCGCAAGGCACTGTATATCGTACTTGGAGAACTAAGAATGGTAGCTCAGAGCTGTAGAACAATTAAACTCCTGTTATGTGTTTTTGATTACGTAACAGTATGTTTTAAAAAAAAACAGACTCTTATTCATTGCACAGACCACCAAAATTTCAGCATTTAACTGATAAATACCATCAGGGTCCAACTCCAGGGATCAAAGGAAAACCAAGTTTTCCCTCCACTGCTAAAACTCACTTTTGAACATAGAGAACTTTAACATTTGCATCTTAACTTCTAGTTTTACTTATTTGTTTGCCAGATACATTGCAACCAAGGTGAGTCACAGTTAATAATATAATTGCAGAAATAAAATGCAGCTATACAAGATCACAAATAACTGCATCTAGTTCAAGACAAAGTGCACACTGGTCCAACAAAATATAGAATACAATATAAACCTGGTGATATGGGCAACCCTAGCAGAAATGTTCAATTAGAATGCTAGATGAATGTCTATAATTCATCTAGATGATGCTGTAAAGAAGAAAATAGTTGCTCAAATTCTTTACAAACCCATACAACAAGTATAGAAAAGGGTGTTGTAAGAGTTTACAGTCCTATCACCTCACCCAAGATGAGCCAATAATAGAGGGTTTGGCAGTGGTACAGGACCCATACAGTACATGCCAAATCAATTTTTTAAATTTATAATCTCCACTTATTTTTGTATGCCCACCCTATCTGGAATAGTCCACTGTGTGTTTTAACATTTACTATAGGTTCACAGCTATGACCGCACACAGGGGAGAACAAAGAAGAGTGTGTTAATACTTCTGTCCTCTTCTCCCGGTCTACACACTGCCTCGTCCTGGAGCTCCAGTGCCAATGAGATAAGGGCGCGTCCCTCAATGGGACCTCTGCATACCTGCCAGCGCCCGGGAGGCTGCAGAGAACGGGAAGAGCCCTGCTTTCTGCTTCCCCGAGCCTGCCCTAGTCAGTCTTGAAAGCGAACACACAGTTGTGGCACAGCTGTGCTCTGCTTGTGGGTCTGCTACCGTGGCAACCGCAGCTTCGCTTACATCAATTAAACAAGTGATGCTGAGGCCTTGCCATCACAGTTTGACAAACTTCATACTCTGGGATTATAGCAGTTTCTCACTGCAGCTGCATCTTTGCTCCACTCAACAACAATCAGCCTTTCCAAGATTTTTTGACATAACTGAGCCGTTATGGCTGTGGCTGTGGAATCTTTCAAGCTTGCTTGAACAGATGTAGCGCACACAAGCTGGTTGAGTGATATAATGTCGAAACTATCCGAAGAATGATCCGCGAATCTAAATCAACAGCCTTGGGCTAGCCATGCAAAAAGATCTCAGGCTTTTCAGTAAACAAATCAAAGATTTTTTTCAAAAGTCTTTTTTCCTTTACGCATTTTTGAATAGATTACCAAATAGCCCCAGAGTGCAGATTCATTGAGTTTTAAACTACAGGTATGTACAGGAATGATAGGCTGGCATCCCTCTCGGTCCCAAATAATGCCATGTTTTTGCATCATGCTTTGGTTAGCCTGAGTAATTACAGGATGTGATTTGCCTTAATTTTTAGATATTTTAATCACGGTGCAAGAAAATAATCCCGTTTATTTCATTAACTTATGCTAGAAGCAGACAGTTTATACTAGTTCTAAACTGGAGAAAAATCCATAGCCAAACATCAGTGCTAAATGCTATTTTCATTACAAAACGTGTTTACTGTAGGTGTCAGGGAAATATTTTAATGCAGCACAGAGTTTAGCTTGGTTTTAATTAGGCCTTTAATTCATTTATAACGTTGATTTAATGATGCTAACAGGACTCTGGGATATTTGCTCATGAAATGAAAATGAAGCGGAACTGTGTTTATCGTTGCTTCAGAAGAACCTGATACTTGAACCTGATATTGCGTGTCCTCAATATTTCATTTTTGCAAAATGTTTTCTTGCATTCAAGCCTTAAGGCATTCTGTGCTCTCTGTTTTACAGGTACAACATTTGTTTCCAACATTTCCTGCACCTGAAAAAACACAACCAAAAAAAAAGGGGCGTTACCTTAAGGTTTCCTTCAAATCTATTTCTTAATACATGTCAGTACAACCCCAAACCAAAGCTGCAGTCGTCTCCATTTTTCTCCTGGTAATGTAATAATACAATAAGTGCATTGCATTTCCCCTGCTCAAGGGATTAGAGAAGGCACGGAATTCTACATTAGCGTCAGGATAACATTTTAAGGGAACAGGTTCATATTTTTAAATACGTAGAAAGTAAGATAGCACTTGCTTTTGGGTGCATTAGAATTAACTGACAATACCATTTCAAAAATGGTTTTGCAACTCCATATAGGTGTTTATTATAACTATAAGAATGTAATATAGTATAATAAATAAAATAGCACTACATGGTGGCTAGTATAACTGATTCAAAGTTTTTGGATCCTGTGTTCAAACCCACACTGCTGTGCCTTCTATGCGGAGCTTGCATGTTCTCTGTCTGTTAGCATGCATTTCTTCCAAGTGCTCTGGTTTCCTCCCACATTCCAAAGATATGATGGCTAGATTACCTTATGTCTCTAAATTATACATGTGTGCACATTTATATCATGCAATAGGCCGGCGTCCCATCTAGGGTGTAGTCCTGTCTTGCACTCCATGACCACTGGGATAGACACATGATAGACTATCATATATGGCCAGAGCCTGAAGAAGTACAAAGTCTGGCCAACCAAAACATGTTGAGGCCTCTATAAACCAGAGCCCAAAGTGTAACATGCAAAGAACAAGAATGCAGTTTTCAGCGATAAGTGAATAATTCAAGAACATGGTTAATATTTGTCCATGTTCTTTTGGATATTTGTTGATAACCTTGAACAGTTTTAACACTGATGTTGAGACAACATAGCATTCATGTTTTAACTTGTACTGATAAGCTCAAATCCCCACCTCATTTAAAGCAGTCTTAAGCAATATTATGTTTTTTTTTAATGCATATTAAACATTTGGTGCTGTCTACAGTTGGGACCTACAGAGACCTTTTTTAATTTGCACATTTTACTTTATTTTAAACAGCCAGCTGGGAACCTAAGACAATATTGGTTTTACCATAGCATCTTCAGCGCAACATTATTATTGTCCTTGTAAAGGTTGTACAGAAAAAATAAAACAAAAAAAGTACTAACTTAACATTACTTTTTAGAAATTTAACTGTTTGAAAGTTTCACTGTGTAACATTTTTACATTCCAATAAGCCAACATCCATTCCCTTTCAATGTGTCTTTTTAAATGTTTTTACATTTTACATCTTACATTTACATTGAAAGATGTTATGTTATTGTTATATTAACATTTTCCAAGTATTAAACTGATATATACAAACCATATCAATAGAAATAAAGAAACAATTTAAAAGGAAATTGCTTTGTTTATACAAACTCCCATGTTATGATCATGGAAATCAAAACAACACTGCAGATGAAATGCATTGCTCTTTTAGAGCAATTGAAATCAGTCTGTTTTTCCAATACAACCAGAGTACATATAATATCTTCTGATTCAGATGACAGCTTGTTCTGCGTTGGTTCCTTTCCTGAAAGTCACTGTAGTGTTACAGGGATTTCTAGAATTAGACTTGATTATTTATGGAGCAAAAGCTTGAAGTACTTTTGGAGGATTTAGCCATTTGTTTTGTTTTGTTTTAGAATTTTACTTAAACTTATAATAGAAAAGTTCTGCCTTATAACCAAATGCAGCCCATAAAAACTCAGATACTGACCCCTAATCCAAAACCAACAGATTTAAGTTCTCATTCATACCTGTAGCCATATCCTTACTTAACACTTGACCTGCAATGTATATATATATACAGTATATGTATGTATATTGTTGTTTCTGTCTTTTTTTCTTCGTCTTCTGTCTGTACACCAACACTGCTGTTGTAAAACAACTTTCCCCCCTGGGGGATAATGAAGACTCTGCTGAGGATCGGAAATTACAGATTTGGAAGTTCATTACTATCAAAGTATCCAATTTAATTGACACGTTGAAGGAGTAGTGACTAGTAGACTCATACGTGGAAGTTTATATATAACCAATTTATATGGTTATATGTAATTTCTATGTTACACTGTGTTTCCCGTGTAATGCTTCTTGATACAGTACCTGCACATCCATGTTTGTTTAAATCATCAATTTGAGTCCTGCTGCCCTCAAGTGGTCGTACTTTTTATATTGTTTCAATCTCAAACACTAGACTTTTTTATCATTTATAAACCACACACTAAGAAATATTGGGGTATTTCACTTTAAAATATCAAATATCCACTACACAATGCTGATTGAAAAGACGCAGTATACTACGTTAAAATAATTACTACAATACACGTGGTAAAATAACCTACACGCTGCCAGCGTTTCACCAGAAACATACAGTACGAAGGAAACGTCAGCGTCTGAATTTTAGTTCCTACTGTACCTCCCAACCTTTAAGGGAAACATGGCGTCTAGATGTTACAAAGTATAGCATTTCCTTAAAATTGGATTTAGTGATTTCTAGTATTACAAGGCAACTAATTTGGAAAGTCGGAAAAGTCACTGCTACCGGTGCATTTAAAATACGTGTTGTTATAACTGATACAGTATTTCTGATCGGGATGGTTTCGTAATAAGGCATAGTAACATAAACACAAACAAAAATGATACCTGTATGTATATCGGCTACACAAAACGCATATTATAAACAGCTTTTTCGTTCTAAGCATGTGACAGTCTTTGGGGATCTCCTTTTGCGCAGAAGAATTGTCCAGCATAACTTCAAGTGGAAGAGAGCCACACATAGCAAATACGAAGTATGTGCTGCTTCTGTTGTCTAATGGTTTGGTAGGAAATGACCAATACGACTCCCTAATGCGACGGTCTAATTCTTTGCTTCGAGTATATTCGTACTGTATATTCGTGTATTAAGTGCTTGTTGTCTGACTTTGTATCTTGTTCTCTGCAACGAACATGGAGTTGCTTAGTTTTGTGGACATGAGGTATTTTTCAGACATTTATATGACAAATTACAAATGACTGTTGCTTTGATATACCTATTAACTCTTTCAGAAATAGGTCTTGTTGGTAGTACGTATTTTTAATTAAAATGAATAATGTAAAATTAAAATTAAAATGTTAAAAGTTGTTTCCCACCTATAACATTATCATTATTTTATTTAAAAAGAAATCTTGCCACAAACTTGATATTTTTCCTTTCACAGATTGAAGAAGGAGCAAGAGGTCTTCCTGTTGTCCATCACAGTAAATATGTTTGTGATCTTCCACCCAATCACAGATTTCCAATGAGAAAATTTCCCAAGGTCCTGAACTTTCTTCTTAAAGATCAAATAATAACAGATAAACAGGTGAGATTGGTATTGTACTGTGTAATCCTAGTAAGAACAAAAACATATCCTTGTGCTCCTGAGTTATAAATAACTATACACCGAAGTTTGTAACCTCAAAGTGAACATCTTAGTGTTGTCAAAGGCATTAACTATTCTTGTCTACTGTGAAGTGTGAAGAACACCTGAAGAAAGTTGAAGAGGAAAAACTTTATTTGACCCTTAATTGTGGTGTGAAGCTAGGGATACAGTAGCTGTTAAAAAAATCCAAACGTTAATTTTCTAGGACATACTGTACAGTATGTATGTATGTGAGTTTTTGTTAAACTGATGAAAATACCCTATTTAATTGTTTTGTATTCATTTACTGCTTTGCATTTTGATGTACTGAGTGAAATGAGGCTATGATAATAACACTTGTTGCCATGAAAACAAAAGGAAAAAAGGATAGTTCCTTGCACTTTGGAGGTGAAGGTCCTGTATATAAAACTAAACAATAAGAGGACGCAGTGACCTTTTTGGAACTATCCACCCTGGCTTGTATCTTCAAGGTGTGCATCCCCGAACCGGTGTCTCAAGAGGCTCTCTGCCGTGTGCACACAGAGGAGTATGTGGAAAACTTCATAACTGGGAAGACCAGCCAGAAGGAACAGAAAAGGACTGGATTTGTCTGGAGTAAAGGCATAGTACATCGCTGCTTATATGAAACAGGTACAAAGAAAGGAAAGGTGGTTAGTAGAGTTTAAAATACATTTAATTTCTACAGTTCTACAGTTCATATTGATCTTCCTTATTTAATGCACACATTATACTACATTTTCCAGGATGCTACTGTCTTTTTAGGTTTTCAGTTTCATAACACTGTTATATTCCTGTGAAGATGTATTATCCTCTAACAAATCTCAATAAAAGTTAAAATTTGAGGTTTTGTATTCATATAGTGAATACATTTTGCCTGACTTCTAATTTATTTATGTTGCCCACAGTGGCATGCATTCAAGAATGAAATATCAGATTCTTCAGTGATTTTATTTTAACAACAGAAAAGCTCTACCATATTAATCCCCTCATTTTTGCTTAATAAAAGATTGACAATGTTGGAGCAATTTAGAGGCTAATTATACATTATTGGGATAATGTTAACTAGCTGTCATGAGGTTAGCCATAACTACTGTACATGTCCAGTACTATTTCACCTAGGATAGAAGCCCTGTCCAACAGCTTCACTCTTCAACACAGTCATAGTGCTTGAAAAGGAACAAGCAGCCCTTTTCTGTTGTGCATTGTAAGAAAAGCTAGGCAGCAGTTATGTCAACACACAAGAATTATGGTTCGAATACAGGAAGACTATTTTAAAAACATAGCACGTGAAATGTACCCCATGAATGAGACAGTTTAGTCTCCAAGGAAAAAAAACTCTCAGAACTTAATATATAGATATAATGAGGTCATCTGGCCCTTCTTTCTCTTCTGGTTTCTAGTAACTATCCGATCCCAGAATCTCATTCAACACTTTACACTTACTGGGCTTTACAGTCACAAACTGAACAGTTCTATACCTATTACTGTCACATTAAGCAATGTTGTAATTCACATGTCTCAGGTGAATACAGGCTTAGCAAACTGTGATCCTTGTGAAGGAAAAATTCAAGCATGGGGCTGGCTGTGTTGTAGGTGGCACACTACTCGCGGCCGAGATTGCACTCCAAAGAGGACTGGCCAGCAGCACGGCGGGGGGCACTCACCATGCCTTCCCCAGCTTTGGTGCAGGATACTGTCTCCTCAATGACCTGGCGGTAGCGGCCAAGCAGTGGATGGACAGCTCTCACCCCAAGAGGAAGATCCTCATCGTTGACCTGGATGTGCACCAGGTACCATGGTTGTAAAGGATGGGGAGGAATATTTATATGACAATGTCACAATGACAAATTCATTTGCAGCTGAACTGGCCTGCTGGGGTTCTCAGTTTTCATGCATTCAATGCTGTCACAACTTGTGTCACGGAAGGTCTTTGTCGGTTTTATATTGCTTTAATCTCATTTAAGGGAGATGGCACTGCTTATATCTTCAGAGATGAGCCAGGTGTTTTCACTTTTTCTGTGCATTGTGGGAAGAACTTTCCGGTTCAGAAACAACAGAGTGACCTGGATATTAGCATTGACGAAGGAATGATGGATAAAGATTACCTCAATACAGGTATTGTACAGGCTTTTGGAAAAAGGAACCTTTAACCTGTTATTATATATACTTTTTCTTTTCGTGAACTGGCTAAATCCAATCTTGGCAATATCTAAATTTTAGAAATGACTCTTTACATTACTACTATCCCTCTTGAAGTACTGCACCGGGCAGCCAGTTCCATAATTATAGTTACCACCTACTGTACTGTAGTTACCCCAAAAGAGTAATTAGACTCAGTGGTAAAATACAAAGTGCCTCAGAACTCTTAAATGTTCAGAATAGAACTGAGTTTGGGAACCCTGTAATAGTTATGCACTAATATTGTTAAGAGAATTAGCATTTGAAAATCTTGTTAAATTATTTCAGGTAAAGGTAAGCGCTCAAGTTCCTCAGAAGCATGCGGTCTTAATCATAATTCTTCAGCATTCTTTCCTTCTTTCTAAGTCGAGACACATCTCCCCTGGGTGCTGGAGAGTTTTCGTCCCGATGTGGTGCTCTACGATGCTGGTGTTGACCCCCACAGAGAGGATGAATTGGGGAAACTTGGCTTAACAGATGAGGGTAAAGTCCTATTTCTTTATTGGGAAAAAAAGTACTTCTGTCTCTTGACAGTCATGCTTTGTAACCCAGGAACTGTTTTTCCTGGAAACTACTATTTACTTTTTCTGATTGACACCGGAAATATGATTCTTATTAACGCTAACCTATTAGTTAGAATATCCTACTATGAAATGTAATAATGTAATGATTAATCATCAGATTATAAACAGTGCAATGGTTTGAGTAGTTCTGCAATGTTTTCTTTGAGTTATGTTTTTTTTTCCTACAGTTATTGTTCACTGTGAAAAATTACTTTTCATTCGGTTTATAAAATGTCTGTGCTTGTTTATTTTATTTTTCACAGGACTGTATCAGAGGGACATGTATGTTATTGATGCTGTTGTAAGGAGGGGCATTCCCATTGCCACAGTTATTGGTGGAGGTTATTCCAGAGACATTGATAGACTGGCTCTCAGACATACTATAGTCCACAGAGCTGCTGTAAAGGTAACACAATGCATATCTACTGTACCAGTAACAGTCCTTTATTATAAAAAAGTATATTGACAAAAGCATTACTTTGATTTCTAACACATGCCTTAAAATTTTGTAGTGAGATGTAGTCAGACTCTAGGTGTCTTATTACAGTATTAAGAAGAATGATACAAATAGAAGAATTGGAGTACACATTTTTGGTAGGAAATTCTTGTTTCACAAACCAAGGTGTGAACATTTAAGAGAAAAAATAATTTCACAAAGCTTTAACATCATAGGAACTTGGTGTTAAAGAAATGACAATATATTTATAGTTGTTATGGAGATCTGTAGCCTTACAACCAAATGGGTTCAGTGTTTTACATTGTTTTGTGTAATTTTGCCATGTACTGTAATTATTCATACAGTATACTGTATAGACTGCTTTGTTCAAAGTTTTGCTCTTGAGGCCAAATAATGTGTTATGTGCAATCCAACACAATAATAAACTTGAACATACATTATAGGGAAATTTGTTGAAGTTTAGATGTTTTAAGTTGTGTAGATACATAATTTCACATATTTTATACTTAAGTGAGTTTTTCTTTCTCTGGTATATTGCAGGTGTGGGAAACCAGGGGGTTGTGACTACAATGTGTGATCATTCCAGTTGTTCCACAGAAAAAGATGTATAATGTCTGCCTACTTGAAGACCTTTTATATTTTTCTTATTCTGGATGAAAACATTTTTGTATTTGCATTGAAGTTTTGTAAAAGATGAGGAAACACTGACAAACATACTAATGTACATGGACAATTAAGTTAGAAAACATCAGTATGTTCTATGAGACAAATTGCTGATACTCAAAAGTTGCATTATTAATGCATGCAATAAGTGCATTTTATTTTACAAGACAAATATACGATTATTTTAAATTAAATTCAGTTAATTTTATGGAAACCATGTCATTATTATGCCTTTTTACTGTTAAGAAGTGTTTCTGTGCTGTCAAGAGACATGTTGTGAATTCTCTTCTATAATTTTCACATAGGGGTCATATTATTAAGGGTAATTATGCATGTTGCTTTTTTCTTCAACTTGAATGTTTACATACTGTTATAAACGGGGGGTTATGAACATTGAGAAAGAACATCAGGAAATGACCGAGCGGATTAATCAAAAAGTAAATTAAATAATCATAACTCCCAACTTGTACTGTAAATGATTTCTGCCAAGAATATACCTAAGAATACCACATTAATTATTTGTTCTCTGGCACAGTTTTTGTGAAAAGAGCAATAATTCAGGGACACCCGATTAAGCAAATATTAACAATGACATACAGAAGTTTACAGACAAGGTGTCTCAGAGGCCTAACATCCTAACCACACAGAAAATCCCAGTCTCTTACCCAGTATGCAATTCTTAAAGCCTACAAAGATCAGAATAAGAGATAAGCTGCTTTCTAAACTAAATAGAATACAACCTGTGGTTAAATCTCTCTATCAGCAAACCTGAATGACACAGAATAAATGGGAATCTCCCTATATCCCTATTCTAAAATGCACTCACTAAGCAGGAGGGCCTGTTTCTTAACTCAGGAACTCCAAGTTCCCTAAAAAAACTACAGAATAGCAAGCTTTCTTAAGACCTCTTGCCTGGCACAGGCTTTATGTTTTGTATCCTATCACGTGGTCTCTGTTCTTTTTCTCTGTTCTGTCTTGATCTGATCTTATACGGTGTCTTTCTGGACTGTTGATTGACACTTAATCATTTACCCAGAACTTAATTAACTAAGCCTAATTACTAAGGTAAACCAAGGTAGACTTTATGATTGCTTTTTTGACCACTGAGTCTGGACTCCCTACATCTTAGAAAACATTGCCTTTGCTTTGAAGCTGAAAATGTTGACACTATCTAGACATCATCCATTTTTTCTTTTGAGATATATCCATAGTTATCTACAGATGTAACATTCTGGTCTGCTTTGGAGTGTCTGTAGTAGGTTAAAGTGAATATCCTTTTTTATGTTTCTATGAAAAACTTGTTTTTATATATAAAATGCTTATTTTAAAGTTGTGTTAATATCAGAACTACTGCAGCAGTAGTTTTGTAATGAAGATTAAGTCTACCTCACAGTCAAAATAGGTGCACAATACTGGATGACCCTTGCAACTTGATTAATATCATTTTAAAATAAATGTTACATTTCCATCACTGTTGCTTACACATTTAATTTGTATTTTTTTATATTTTCATTCCTTAATTGTATGTATATAGATTTGACCATGTTAAGCATAGGTTGTGAACCTAATTGAACTACTGAAATTGCTAAGTCTATTTAACAATAGTTACGAAACGCTTTCTGTAAAGCAAATAGCCCGAACATAATCAACGCTAATACCATACATGTTATGCCTTAGTAACAACCTTCATACACCATGTTCAATAAAGGAGATTGCTAAACCTATTATTATTATTATTATTATTATAGTAATTAACCCAAATTATTGTGCTAAATTATTGCTGAAATGTGCGCATGAAGGAACAGATTATAATTATTTTCCAATTTATTCTTTAAATCCTTAAAATCTGAAGTACATTTTCTTCACCCTTCACAAACGGTCTTCAAGCGGTGGTTTTATCGCATTTTGGGACTCGCGTTTCCCTCGTCCTGTTTGTCCCAATCCGCTTCTTGTTGTGGGCTTGCGTTTGACAGCGCGGGTTGTGTTTAGTTCGCGGGAAGACGAGCTGTATTTGTAATTATAAGCAAGTGAGTTACAGTGCTTTGAATATATACAGTATATAAAAACTATTAAGAAAACTACTTAATAAATTACAGCGAAATGAGTTTATGGGTGGATAAATACAGACCGACCTCTCTGTCGAAGTTGGATTTTCACAAGGATCAGGCCAACATGTTTAAAAACCTGGTGAGTCTTGGTGAGTCTCCTGTGTTTTGGGGGGTGTTTTTTGTAGTTTTGTACCGTGAAAAGTTGCACGCATTTTCCTAAGAATTCTTTACCTACACTGTCGGATAGGGTGCGAAGAATATGACAGGATCTGGAACAATTTAGGGAAAAAATAAATAGTATTTGAGAGCAGCTCTTTAAACCACAATTTCGAATAAATCTATGTTCTCTTGCACTCTTTGGTCTTGGCGAATATTTACCCATTTGTGCGTGTTTTTCAGGTGCAAGGGGGAGACTTTCCCCATTTGATGGTGTACGGTCCCTCCGGAGCTGGAAAGAAAACACGGATTATGTGCTTGCTGAGAGAGCTGTACGGTGCCGGGGTTGAAAAGCTCCGAATTGAACATCAGTCCATCACAGTAAGGACTACTATTAAAAATAGACTTTTCTTACAATTAACAATAAAAACCAATAAAACCTTTTTATACTGTACTGAAGGGCAACACCCTTTTATGCCAATAAAAATAGGTCAGTCCTGAGATTGTAAAACTTGCATGTTTTAGTATCCATAGTAATGGGTCGGAAGCATTTAAACTATGTTTTTGTATAAACAGATCTCTAACCCTGGTCTTAGACCCGGTCCGGCTAGGCATATGAGTAACCTTTACATCATTAGTTGTAAAGACCTCAATAAATGTAACTGATCAGTCAAACAGGGTATGTGTTCAATTTAGTAATTTAGGGTTCATTTGGAACCAAAACCAGCACGTCCTTGTGCCTTCAGGGGCCAGTGATCCCTTAAGGGTCACAGATTGCTTAAATTATCTGTTCCTAAAATATGTGGTCCTCATCTTTAAATAGAAGGTGATTTAAGGTGACCTAAAATAATAACTTTATTGGGACTGTAGGGCAGCGAGTTGCAGCTTCCTAGCCTAAAATTGATTAATCCACTGTACAATTTATTTCTAGTCTCCAAATACTTCTTCGATCGGGAAATTGAAAATGTGAGATTGCCAAAAGGAATTTTACTGCGTTGTGAATGTAATTCAGTCAGAATTCTAAGGGTAGATAAATTGTACTTCACAGCAGTGTTCTTCACAAGTTAATAGGGAGTGTTATGAATTGGCATGCTGTGTGTGATTCAGCATATTAAAGTCTTTTGGATCAGACAGGAAAGTACCTTTCTGCAATTCTAGACCTGATCTGAAAGTCTGATTGCAGGCATGCCATCTACTGTATGTAAAGCAGAAGTAAGCTGTGTCCCATTCTTAATTAGAAATGGTGTGCAGTGGGTCTTTCTAATGCCAGATGTTAATGGTTATGACAGAAACATCCATGTGCATAAATATTCCTGGTTGGTTCTGACAGACCAATTATTTTTCCCTTTCATTTGCAGGCTCCTTCAAAAAAGAAAATTGAGATCAACACAATAGCAAGCAACTATCACCTTGAGGTCAATCCCAGGTAAATCATCTGGAGAGCAGGGAACATGAAACAGAAGTTAAAGTAGCTTTGAGGAGTTTGTTGATGGTATTTGAAGATTGGTTGCTGTGTAGTGCAAGTGAATTTCAAATAGTATTGTTAATGAGAGGACAAGTAAAGTGTTGCATATGTTCTCTTCCCATCAATTGCTTAAGGGAATATAGACATAGCTTTAAAACCAATTTCGGAATGTTGTATTTTATAATATGTGGTATTTTTCTTGTTGCTGTCCATAATCACTAGAGTAATCTCAATTGCTCGAATGAAGGAACAGCTGTCTTAACGAGATTGATTTGTACCTAAGTGATGGCTCTTCGTGAACTCGCTGTGTTCTTGTTAGGCTTTCAGATTTGCTACTGGTGCCAATTTAGAAAGTCCAGAAAAATGTCTGTGCTTTCCTGAATCTCCAAACACGTTGTCTTGCAGTGACGCAGGGAACAGTGACCGTGTGGTTGTCCAGGAACTGATAAAAACAGTGGCACAGTCTCAGCAGATCCAGACCAGCACCCAAAGAGAATTCAAAGGTGAATTGAGATGCCTGTGCTTGGTTAGCGGAGATGGTGACGAGTTCTGTCACTTTGATGTTAAAAAAATAGCACAATTTAATGCAATCTTCTCTAAAGCAGTTTATTAAATTAGTTGTAAGGTCTTATCAGTGGTTGACAGGTTAAATTCAGAATTACAGCAGACCCATCGTAGTTTTAAGGATCAGAGCTTTTAAACGAAACCCTCTCTCTTTCAAAATCGAAAATTCACTTCAAGAAATGTATCTTTTGGACAGTGGTGCTCCTGACTGAAGTGGACAGGCTAACAAAGGATGCCCAGCATGCTTTGCGAAGGACGATGGAGAAGTATATGGCGACCTGCCGGCTGATACTGTGCTGCAACTCCACCTCTAAAGTCATTGCTCCCATCAGGAGTAGATGCCTGGCTGTGCGAGTGCCATTACCGAGCGTGGAAGAGGTGGGTGCCGTGCTATAGCCTGTGAGACGAGGCCTGTAGGAAATCGGTGTTTGTGCCGCAGCCTAATTGGGGGCAGAAGTACACTTCGCCTTCTTGGGCTTGATAGCTTGGTGGTGAACCATTACTTCCCCAGAGCTCCAGGATCCTAGATTCAGGTGCTGTCTGTTTGATTGAGTGGGTATTGTAACCTAATAAAAAGGAAGGGAGCCTTTCGAACTCTGAAGAAATTAAATAGCTATTATTTTAAGCTGAGCCGTCTTGTCCTGACTTCACTGGACCTCTAGTCAGTGGTTAGCGTTGTCTCACAGCTCCAGGTTTCATTTCCGGTGCCTGTCTGTGTGGAGTTTGCATGTTCCTACTGTGTAATGTCTGTGCCTTGGGGTACTCGAATTTTCCCACCTGCCTTCTGAATATTTGCAGGGATTCAATGGTATTTCATTGAATAGATGGATTAGAAATTCACAGTCAGCTGTTTCAGCCCTTCTTAATACACACAGCATCTTGGGTCGCACAAATAGTTTGGTCCCTCTTGATATGGGGGAGGGTTGTTTCCAGTACATCTAGTTCTCGTAATGGGCCAAATAATCTCTATGTTAAGGCCTTTCTGATTTTTTTAATTCTAATTTCCATGACAGTGAACAAGTATTAACACAATGTCTTGTTTAGAACTTGAAAAAGTGCTTCGCCAGACACATTTTTAATTCAATAGCAGAGTGCCAACTGAACTTGGTGTTTCTTTCATCAGTAAAATTTGGGTTGTAACACCATATTGTGATGTGTTGTGTGCAGTAACTGTGCCTGGTGACACAGAATAACCTTTTGTTCTTTGGTCGTTTTAAACTCTAATGTGTTATTTTACAATATATTTTATGATATAAGTGTATAAAATGTCTAAAGTAGCACGCTTGTATTTATTGTGCCATTTCAGCTCAGTTCAGCCTGACAGGGCCGTGTTAGTGTAGCGTGGATAATTACTGAGAGAGACTTGGCAAACTGTGTGCTATGACATGGTTTGTGGCCTTATCACACTGCATTCAAACAGACAGAAAAGCATTTAGCTTAAGGCTGCTGCTTTTAACCTTTACATTTTATAGATGGAGAAAAGCCTTAAGCATTGTTGTACTGTATGTGTCCTTTTCTCCTTATAAAAGGAGTAGTAATTCTGAAAGGAAACATGTATGCTGTATTGATAAGTACATGTGCTTTTGTGAGGGTTTAATTTGGCAGATTCAATAGACTCAATTTCTCACTTAGTCTTCCTTATTATGAATGCTGTCAAAAAGACGATGAGGCTGTTTTTATGAGAGATTCACTTACTGGCAATTTTATGTGTGACGGACTTCTCAATATGCCATCCTCCTTCAAAGTACAGTTACATAACACTTTCTAATGTTACTAGTTTTTTGCCAGCAGAGATGTTTACAGAGCCTAATTTGATGCATTTGCAGTATGGACATACATTATTTTGAAGTTATTGGGAGTTGTTTGGGATCTTTGTAATAGATTTGATTCATCGCGAAGCACTAATATTGGCTGGATTGTGGGAGGGGTTTCAGTGACGAGTTTTATTTCTTCTCAGTCAGAAAAGCAGTTGTTATAAAACAAAATAAAATAGGGAGTGTAAAGTCTGGATCTTCATACACTTTCACTGTCACACTACAGAACACCACAGATATCACAAACCTCAGTTCTGCATGCATTCCCCCTTTTCTACAAAACATCTCCAGTTACGTCTTTCATAACTGTACAGAATGATTTTTTTTAAATGAAAGAACACTCCACAAACATATCTGTTGTATTCTGTTGTAAGAATTTCTCCACTCTCCCTAACTCTGTTCAGTTCTTTGGTTTGGATGTCTGTTCTTTGAAACATAAATAAGGATGAGGTTGAGCTTCCTCTCTTTATCACGTTGCCCATGGTCTGGCTGTAAGTCAGTCATTCCCAATCGTGGTACTGGAGAGCCACACATCTACGGCTGGTTTTCACACCAGCACAACTTCATTAGATCATTGGAGCCTGACTTGATCTAAGAGGTTCAGTTGAATTTTTGCATTTTGTTTCTAGTCACAAGCTGGGGATTTGATTTCACTTACAGATTACAAGTTAAAGCTCGGCCCCAAGATGTTTAAGAGCTGGGAACAAACAGTTCAAATTAATCTTATTATTATTAATTTAATGAAGGGTTTGGTTGTGTTACTGAGAGTTCAGTTCAGGAACCAGGACCAGGATTGGGAACCACTGCTTTAAATGGTCTAACAAAAATAATAATAATAGTTCCTTACACTTATGTAGCGCTTTTCTGGACACATCCCTTAATGCGCTTTACAGGTAATGGGGACATCCCTCCACCACCACCAATGTGTATCCCCCACCATCTGGATGATTTGACAGCAGCCAAAGTGTGCCAGAACGCTCACCACACATCAGCAATTAGTGGGATAACGGAGTGATGAAGATTATTAGGAGGCCTTGATTGGTAAAGGCCAGGGAGAAATGTGGCCAGGACGCTGGGATTTTTAATGACCACAGAGAATCAGGACCTTAGTTTTACATCTCATCGTAAGGACATTTTACGGTATAGTATCCCCATCACTACACTGGGGCCTTAGGATCCACACAGGCTGCAGGGTGAGCACTCCCTGCTGGTCCCATAAACACCTTAGTTTTTCCCAGGAGGTCTCCCATCCAGGAACTGGCCAGATTCACACCTGCGTAGCTATGGTGGGCTGCCAGTTGTCAGCTGCAGGTGATATACCAGCTTAAATGAGTGACTCTCTCTCTTTTAAGGTATGCAGTGTTCTGACCAGCGTGTGCAGGAAAGAAGGCCTGATCCTTCCTGGGGAGCTTGCAAAGCAAATTGCTGAGAAGTCGGGGCGCAATCTTCGCAAAGCTCTGCTGATGTGCGAAGCCTGCAGAGTGCAACAGTGAGTTCATGGGGAGCAATACCTGTTCACGTGACCTGGCATCTACAGAGTATCCAATTTGGGGGGTTAAACAACATCTCAGGCTTTTTTACACTGCTTTTTAGATGGATTCGGATTTCAGAGTCGACTGTTTTGGCCCATCTTAATGCACACACAGCATCTCGGGTTGCACACATAGTTTGCTCCCTCTTATATATCTTGGCAGTCGAGTAATGAGCTTGGTCACATGCAGATATGTAAAGAAGAGAAATAACTTGGCTATGAAGCCTTCTTCAATATTTAAACAGGAAGACACAAAATGCAAATGTTGTCTGAAATCAAAAATGTAATATTGGTTAACATTTCAACCCGAAGTTAACATTCACAAACTTGTTTTCCAATGCTGGCTTCACAGCCCAAACATTGGGTTTCCTTTCTTTCCCTTTCAGCATGAAATGAACCTTCACCTGTTCCTTTTATTATTATTATTATTATTATTATTATTATTATTATATAACCAATTATTACTATATACGCAGAGGTAACACGTGTTGCTGCTAACTTGATACAGAAGTACTTTAGTCTTTCTTGACATGTCAGGGACCACATAAGGCGATTTTTGAAGGGGATTAAAATTTAAGATCAAGGCATGGGACCATTGCTAATTTTACTTACTAGCCGCGGTTAAGACACAAAATACAACTGTACTTCAGAGGTGCAGTTTATCTTTATTGCAAAGTGTTAAATTATTTGAAAACTGTGTAGAATGTAAGTGAATGATAAAAGCTGTCCTCAGTTAAGGAAAATTCTGAACATCTTGTGTGTATCCACAAGGTGGTGCACACACAGTATGTACACCACACATCCTTTCCAGGAGGATCAGCATTCATGAAGTACTCGGACTGTAACTCAGGGACTTTAGTGAGAAGTGACGTTTGGAAAATTAAACCAAGACACATCGGAGATCAGTGTTTCATATGCATGTTCATTTCGGTAAACAATGCAATCTACTGTATCTCCAAGGTGTTTGCCACTGTGGCTGTGGAGCTGTGTGGGACCGGCGAGACTGAGAGTTTGTGTTCTGAATATTAGCCATAGTGTCCTCGCAGAATTATTTTTTTGTGTGTGTTATGCCCATCAATGTCTGTGCATGCCTGCAGAGGGGGTGATAAATGTCATTTCCATAAAAGATAATCCAATTAGTAGCAACGTTTTTGTGCAGATTTTCTCAGAGGGAACACGGATACACGAGCTCGCCAGGGAGACCGGGGCCTGATCGTGTGGCGTATAGAGGATGTCAGAATAAATATTAATTTCTGCATGAATATGCGGGGCCACTGACTCATAACCTAGCTTGGCATGCAGAGGTCTGCGTTAGTTCACAGGGGGGTTTAATTAAAAGCTGCCTGTAGCGATCGGCCACGAATTAATGTATTCATAACAGCTCCCCAATGACGACCAGAAAGCTTCTCCGAGAGGTCATTTCACCGGTTGACGGTCCGTTGGAAGCTTTATTCTGGACTTTGCTGGAATAAGCTAAATGGTTAAGAAAAACAGCTCTGTCCAGAGGGATATGATGGTTTTCCCCTGTGATTTTGGTGTTCTGCTGCGTTCGTTTAGATTTGCATTTTGGTCACTACTGGATTGCAGTATGTCCTTGCTTTTGTTACTTCACTTGATTTTTGACGTAACGTCCATTTTCAACATCGGCTTCTGAAAGAGCTCCAGGATGCTGGAGCAGAGGAAGGGAAATGGCAGAAATAGATCAGTGCAGCACCGTTGTGATTTAACTTATGGACAATAAAGCATGATGTGTAGCTGACTTGGTTCTGCAGAAGGTGTCCCAGTAGTATGTATTGAGAACCTGCTTCAGATGTTATTTTTATGGCACTGTTCAATCACGTCCAAAATAGTCTTAGTAGAAAGACCTGCCATCATGGAAAGCCTATGAAGAAACCCGACAAATAAATTATAGAACCGAGAATACATTCAGATGTAATTGATTATTGCATATGATGTATTAGAAGTTATAAAACAAAATGACACATGATTTCATATAGGAATCTTGCAGTTTTGGAATATCAAGTTATTATTTAGTGGGGGAAAAAAAAAACCATAACCTAACACTGCCACTTAAGATTTTTCTAAACTAATGGATTAAAGGTTGTGGGCTTTTAGAATGCTAAAGGAATGTAGAAGAATGCTAAAACCAGTTTTCTTGATCCCAGGATAGATCTGATTGTTGAGTGCAATACGTCTACTGTGTTTTTGTTATCGGAAAAATAGATCCATTCTAAACGGTTCGCAGCCTTTGACTTGCATGAAAGCACTCGGTGGAATGGAACATCCCTGTTCTTAATCTTAATTGAAAGAAACAAAAGCGTTCCTGTAGTGAATCTTCAGACTGCAAGTCTTCCTCTTTATCTTTAACCCCGTGTCAGATTGCTTTAAAGAACTGACTGTCCTTGATGGATGAATGGATTGAGTTCATTAAATTACAGCACATTAGAGTGTGTCATCAAATCTTTGCTTCGTGTTGATTGCCTTCTTTCCAGATGGATGGACGGTATGGTCAGCTGGTATTTTCGTAGCGTGATCTGAAGTAATGGATTATGTCAAATATGCTCCAAAAGCCGAGTAAAAGAAAATGGGCTTTGTAGCCTTGGTTCTACATTTACATTATAGATGTTTAGCATCTTGTGCAGGAGTTTGAGTGAGTGTTTATTGTTTCCTGTTTATTCTAAACTGTTGTAGATTAAAATAATTTCACAGTTTTACAATGACGGGGGGTCTTTCGGCACTGTGTAGTACAGAAGGTCTCTTCAACTACTTGAAACCCCAGGGAAAGGTTTAAAAGTCCCAATTTGATTCTTATTTTTCCCTTATCAGTTGTTTGTGCTGGTCGAAACAGGGTTTTTGGGCACAGAAGTGCCAGTCTGGATGCAGTATGTGTCTTTAAGAAAGGGTGTTCAGTTTATTGTGTAAAACAGGTGATTAAGAGATCCGGTACTGTATGTAGAACAGAATTTAGGAGACCCCGAAGGCTCCTGAGTTGAAGACACAAGCTATACAGTTGGACTTGCCTAGAATTAACCTAACCTCCTGCTTTACTATGTAACCGATTGCTTGGGACAACCGCTGCTTCACAATATTAAGATACGCAAAGGCTGACCTCTCCTGTGTTTTGCGTAGGTATCCTTTCTCTGTGGACCAGGAAATTCCTGAGACAGACTGGGAGGTTTATCTGAGAGAGACAGCCAACGCCATTGTCAGCTTGCAGAGTCCACAGAGGTGAGCGCTGGGCTGGACATTCAACTGGCTGGAAAACATACTGTAGGCTTTCAGATTATTCTAATGCTGGTCCTAATCTGTTACCTTCCATGGCTCAGTGCACATCCCAGTTACACAGCCTAAACGGAAAGAGTGGTACAGACTGTTAGGAATTGTTCTCTCTCGTGCAAGCTGTGAACCTACTTTAATATGACTAGAAATCATCAAGGGAGATGGTGATGGTGAAATTTTAGTATTTCTGTTTCTGCAGCATGGAGATCTACAAGTTGAGAGTTTTTTTCCCCATCCTGAATTTTTAAGGAAAAACACATTCTGAAGCTGTGTGTGCAACATGACAAATCAGAGGCACCCTCAGTGGACCTACAGTAACCGCATTTCAGAAACATTTAAGAAAAAATCAGCTGATGCAAGGGCATGTGGTTTGATTAGACGATGTCTAGATCAAATCATGTTCTATTTTTCACTTCATTTTGGCTGTACTTCATACATACTGTGGTGGACAGAACAGTGTCTGAGGTTGAAAATAGTTATTTCCATTTTAAGGTGGTTCCACTCATCTTTTAACATTTGCAAAAAGCAGGCACATTCAAAGGAACAAAAGGTGTTTCACATTTTAAATTTCAATTAATCATACAGCATACATCCGCTCACTGGGTTACATTTGTCTTGACATAAGGTTGACTTTCCATCAAATCCCCTGTAAGTCCCAAACATTTTTGAAGTACAGCAAATGATATGCAGTAGATATAAAAGAACAAGTAGTGAGTTCATCCACAGATAGAAAAGCTTAGAGTAAGCATAATGCGGTCACCAACAGCTTTCACTAGGGCACCATTTTATGCCCAGTATTGACTTCTTATGCATAGGCTGTTATACCTCATGCTTTTTTGCTGAATACTGCGAATAACCCACATTTAAGTTTTAACAACTTAGCAGTATGGTATATGATAATTAAGTGTACCCTACAGTATACACTCTTTAAAAGGTAATTCACTCCAGTGTTTCATTTATTTCTGTTTATTTTAAAGTGTAAGGTATATTTGGTGTTTAATTTGACTATAGGATTCAAAAATGTTTTTCTTAAAGTATTTCTGTTTAGAAAGGTTGTGAATGATCTTTCTTGATCATGCACAGCACAGAAAGTGTGTCTACCAACTGGTGTAAAAAGCATATTACAGAAAGACATGTGGAACAGAGTCCTTACGTACTGTGTGAGGAAGGGGTTTGTCTTTTGACTTCACGTCTTTTTTCACTCTTCATTTCAGACTGTTTGAAGTCCGGGCAAGACTGTATGAGCTTCTCACTCACTGCATTCCTCCAGAAATCATCATCAAGGTACAGTTTTCGTTTACCTTCTGTCTGATGTTTTTTTCTGGTTTTAATTCATTTGATATACAAGATTTCCTGACAACGAGCAAACATTCAAGCATGAGTAAAACATACTAGTGACTAATCTCAAGCAAAAAAGATCTGGTGGACACACCTCATTAAAAGTGTCATGCATTCATACTAATTAGTGTTGCTCAATTTTTGGAATGTTAGCTTCTCCTTAGAATCCCACTTTGGCTTTAGAAAATGGAGTGGAAAAGCAGGCAGCCATCTTAAGCTCCAATTCAGCCAAGTAGAGCTCTGCTTTACCTAGGAGTATTCTTTAGGTCAACAAGTCAGTAGAGGCTGCTCATCCATCCATTTTCTAACCACTTTATCCAGTACAGAGCCAGAGCCCATCCCGGCAAGTAGTGGGCATAAAACAGGATACAACCTGTACAGGACACTAGTCCATCGGAGGGCACTCATAATGGGGCCCGTTTTTTCCCGAATCCACATAACTTACCAGTTATGTCTTTGGACTGTGAGAGGAAACCGAAGCACCCGAAGGAAACCCACATGAACATCGGGCGATCATGCAAACTCCGCACAGATAGAACCCCAGGAATTGAACCCAGAGCCTGAGCTGTGTGAGACAGCAGTGCTAACCACTGAGCCACCGTGCCACTCAGTGGCTCTTTGTTCTCTACCATTTTCTGCATGTGTGGCTCTCAGACCCCTTGTGATTGAGGCATTTGTCTGTAAAAAAAGACATTCTTTAAATTCTGTTTTTCTAAACTTCAGTTCAGTTACTGGACACAGTGTCCAATAGAACATACAGGCACCAAATGTTGTAGAAGAGGTTATTATGCATTTGTTGTAAAATGAAGTCAAGGTAAATCCTGATTAAGTCCTTCCGTATTGTTAAGCCCAATTTAACGTAAGATTGAAACCCACGATTAAAACCAAAGAAGTATCTGTTAAAATTTGTACCACATCATACTGTCTATAGAGGAGATGCTTCTTCACGAATGAACTCTCTCGTTTTTTTTTAATTATGATTTTGTTCTTGATTGTTCCTGCACCATTATATATGCAAATGTCTTGAATCTTGACAGTTCGTTTTTGCCTCTTGTTTCAGGGCTTGGTCTCGGAGCTCCTGAGCAACTGTGATGGACATCTGAAAGCTGACGTTGCACAGATGGCTGCTTACTATGAGCACCGGCTGCAGCTTGGAAACAAAGCCATTTATCATCTGGAAGCCTTTGTGGCCAAATTCATGGCCATCTACAAGAAATTTATGGAGGATGGGCTTGAAGGCATGGTGTTTTGAGATGTTTAAGTGTATAAAATTGTCCTGTTTATAGTGCATTTTTCAAATGTTCATATGTACAGTGCTGAACCTGCATCCTTGAGTGGTGCTTGTGCACGCAATCTGGCAGAGAAATGTTTGGCAACAAGAAGTTAATTCAACGCTGAAAATAAAAAATGAAAGAAATAAAAACGTTTTAGGTGTGGCATCTTCTTCAGGTCCAGTTAACTTCTGATTGTTCCTGAGCAGCTTGCCCACTGACACAGCTGTAAGCTTCTCAGACTGCTGTAGTATTTGGTTTTGTGTGGCAGTGACACTTTATCTAAACCAGATTATTGTCATTATAACATTTTGAAAATGTGAGGCCTGTGTGCTAAGTAGGCAGTGGAGTATCGGGAACCAAATGGAAGTTTGCAATGATCCATTAAATAAACTATAAGGCCATCATTAATTTAAACCCTGCGATAAAGTTCCGAGTATCGTTTTATTTTAGGTCACACAGATTTTATTAGAAGTTTCCTGAATTTGTCATTTTTAATTCATTCTCCTTTTGTCTCAAAAGTCTTAAATATTTAAAAGCACCTTTCCATGAACTCATGCTTAATGAACAAAAAGTGTTTAGTGCAGTGAACCTTTAAATACAGCATTTGCACTGGTGGAGGAGTAGATGGGAGTTCTCAAGAGTGCAAGTCTGATGCTTGTTCTAAAAAACACCCATCTTTAGCAGATTGTTGTTGTGCACTGTACAATGATGGTAAGCCAGATAGGGAAAACCTTTAAATGCTGCAAAAACCCCAGATTGTAATGCTCCTCCAAATTGTTTGTACAAAACCGACTAATGAGAACTGCAGCCTCGCATATCTTCAGGATGCCCTAGACATTGTGTATACTGGATTGTACAGGCTGCCTTCTTTCAGGCTTTTGATTAACCTGTTCATCAGGAACAGGTGCATTCATAGAGAGTTGCGTCCTGATTTAACCAATTAATACGTGCATAATGTATGCCATGTGGTTGCAATGACAAAAGGTTATTGCATTAAAATTTCAGTACTCAAAAAGTATACCATACTATGTTGAAAGAAAAATAAAGTGGATTCCCATTTCTAATCATATTCAAAAAGCTACAACACTGAGCATGGAAAGCATTTGATTTTTACCTCTTTGAGGTGCGTTTGCAACTTTTGATTGGATTTTTCAGCGAATGGCAAAGGGCAATATAAAGGTATTTTTCTTCTTTATTTGGTACCAAGTTTAGTATACCATAAACATTAATATGAATATCAATAATTGCATATGACTGAAGAAGTAAAGCAGCTGTCAGTTTAGGAGAACAGCAGACAGTGGAAGACTTCCATAATGACGGCAATCACAGTTTTGTACTCTAGGCCTTTAAAACAACAGAATCTCTCGCACTGTTCAAACTCAATTAAAACAGGTTAGAACTCTGAAGAAAAAGAAACCTTATGTTAATGGAAAACTGCCCTTGTTATTAGTGTGAGCCTTGGAGGAAATCCAACTTTCCTCAACCAAAAGTGAGATTTCACTTTCTTATATGCTATTTAAGAAGATATGCATGTCTTCATGCTGTGTTAGCAATAAACATCACCAAAGGTCATTTATTTTCCAAGGACAAAAATATATTTATTCGATTGTGAACGCACAAATATTAAAATTAATGTACAAAACCAGTTTGCACAGAACAGTTAAAAATATTAAAAAGTAATTTATTTTTTACTAAAACTATTTGTCATGCCACTGCACGTTTGCTCAATAAATATTAAAAATATTTATGAAATGTCTGGAAAGCTAACAAATACAAATTAGAGGCAATTTAACACCAGTAAACCACCTTGCAATACTAAAAACATAATGGGTTCAAGGCATTGATAACTGACTACAATTAGCGTCAAGAAAAATTATTCAAGTTTGGAGTGAAAGCATGCAAACAATATTGAGGATTCTTCAGGGGGATAAAACACATCCTGAGCAATATTTGAATTAAACTATGCATTGAAGTGATACTCTTTGGCTGCACATGACAATAGACAATTACAAATCAGACAAGCGTTTAAAAATAAACAGATCAGTATAATGACCCGTATGACAGCACATTTAGACTCTATTCAGTACTGAAGAGAAACAGATGTACATGCAAATATATGTTCATGTTAATGTATATTGCGGGCTTATTGAACAAGTGAATTCTAGAACTTGCTACTTGAGATGTTTTAGTAAATAAATTTAGTGTATTATAAACAGAAACAACTGTTTCATAGACTCCAATACAAAACATCTGCATTAAAATCAGACAGAATCATCCAGCTCGTTAGGGAGTAATGAGTTCCACATCATACTACAGTACTTCAAATTAAATACCTTGTTAAAACACTGAGGCGTACAGTACAGTACAGTATATCAGTTACACTGACACTGTTTCTTCAAGTATATAAAACAAAAAGAAAAGACATATTACTGTGTTATATAATTACTTTGAGACCAGTGCTGGGGAAATGAAAGCAGTTTGGTTCGAAACAGGCTTTTAAAAACACAGCATTCTTCACAAATAATCTAAATTTGCCAAACCTGGACCTTCTCAGCGATGACGCACCAGTTGGCATGATCAAAATACGACTGAAGCACATGTAGCTCCTCCACATGCCTCTCGATGAGCTCCAGAAGCTCACGTTCCTTGAACACGTGATAGTAGCGAAGGAAGGAGTCTGCTGACTTTATTTTGTTCTGCTTATTCATCTCTCTGTCCTGAGTGCCTTCTGTGCTGTTAAAGAACTGTGGTACCTCTCTTTCAGGCCTGCCTTCCTGCTCTCCACTGGGCAGTCTGTTGCTGTAGGCACGGTCACATGCCTCTTTGTCGGCAACAGCAATATTCTGATGTGTGACGAGGTCAGGCAAGGGCACAGCGCCGCACGTGTGGACTATAGCAGCAGACAGGCCCCGCTGTTCAGTGGCAGAGTTGCCATTTCTCTCAACCCTTGAGAGCTTTGGAGGGTCCTGGTCTACCACAGACCCAAAGACATCCTCGTCAGAGCTGTGCCTCGATGAGAAGAAGCTGGAGACCTGCTTGATCAGACCCATGCCTCTGTTGAGCCCGAAGACCTTAGTCTCGTTTGCTTCTTTCATCTGGGTGCTGTCATCACAGGACGTGCTCAGTTCCCTGGTAGACCTAGAATTGGCGGCACCTCCAAAATCTAATACTGAATCCAGCGACCTGGAGAAAAACCAGAGCTTTTTCGATTTCCCGTGGGAAGTGGATGCTGTTTCCTCCTCGCCCGCGACGGAGGATGTGCTTTTTGTCTTCCTGTGCTTGTCGTTGCCATCAGTGCCATAGCTAGCGCAGTCTCCAGTACTGGAGCCTCTCCGGTCCTGCCTGGCTTTGCCTGGATAGCCCCTAGTGGCGGGAGAGGACGGGGGGTGAGGGTTCCAGGGGACGAAGATGTCCTGCTTCTCAAACCTGCGCCTCTTCTGTTCCATGGCCCACACGTAGATCATCACCCGTCCGCCAACTCGCAAGGTGCGCGACATCTCCTTTATGGCCCGGATGCGGCGCTCTTTAGTGGAGAAATGGTGGATGACTGAAAAACAGAAGGGAGGCCATTATGGTGCCACCATCAAATATACAACAGTCCTGGCACACCAAGAAGCTACACTAATACTCTCGTGTACTGAGGTTCCTGCCTCTAAAATCCTCTGATCTTCTCAAAATCATTTTGTCGTTGTCAATAAAAGAAAAAAAAAGTCCCTGGTGCTCCAACACATATACACCTTTATGCACTTTTATATAAGTTACATCCTTTGTTACATGTGATCAAGACATGCAAGTATCACTATCATAGTGACCTACAGTAAATAAACTTATGTTCTATTTTTTCAGCGCAAATTCTCCTCATTAGTAAAGGGGTTTAAGTTCAATGTACAATGCTCTACACACAAGGACACTTAGACAAGTAGGTCTTATGCTAATTATCACTGGAAACACACAGGGAAATGTATTTGCTTTCTAAAATTACAATACTGTTCTTTTTTTATGCATACAAATGCTATTTAATCCATGGAACACAGCAATTCACCCATTACCTAAGGTACACAGTTGATAAATTCTTTGTAAATTTGTCATTCTGGCAAGTGTTAAATACTGCAACAGTTGATAATGACTGGAAGTCAGAACAACTCCACAGCACACTTAAATAAAAACGAGAATTGCTTTTCGTATGCAACTGTGAACAAAGCTGCAGAAAGAGATATCATTTACTTCAATGGTACAGCAAGACAATGAACTTAACATTTAAGTAGTGCATGACTAAATACCAGCCATTATGTATGCACATCACATTTTATTGAATAACAACATACCACCTTTGTAAAAAAAATCATATTTCCAGGACCCTTAAATAAATCTAATCTAATGAGATACAGATACACACCAACACATTTTCTATGCTTCCTGTCTAGCCCGTCATAAAACCTCCTCCTACATATTGTACATTAACAGTAAAAGCTAAAATAAATATGCAGATTTCGTGCGTCAGTGGCGTATATTTTTCAACCCACTTGCACTCCACAAAAAGTGGTCTGCGTTGCCTGGTGACTCACTGCCTGAAAACCTGATGACCATCAGCTTCTGAAAGAGATAACTTATCATTTGTAGCCTGGTAACTCGCAGCCTCATTCACTTCATTCTTTAATAAAGGGACATTATCTTCTCAATTGCAAACAGATGAGTGGCAAATTGATACTCAACAGCCATGCGGCATACGTGTGTGTGAAATGAATAATGAACAAGCAACCCCGGAAACAGAAAGCACTGCATGCTCACTTCATGGAGGATGGAAATTTACCGCAGCAGTCTCTTATCTACATATAAAACATGAATTGAATTCTGCACTTTGGTTTTCTTTGTAAATCCCAAACCTTTTTGAAAATTAATATTGTATGGCATGGAGTATTACTAATCCGTATAGGACTCCAACAAATTCAGACCTTAAGTAGAACAGAAACCTGAAAACCTAATTTAATGAAAAGCACACACTGCCACAAGAGTCTGCCTGGTTTAACCCAGATCTTAGTGGCCAGCAGTTTATCTGTCAATCTATTTTCTAACCACTTCATTCATTCACAGGGGAGCCAGAGTCTATCTTGGCAAGCAAAGAGCGCAGGGCAGGATACACCCTGGACAGGATGGCAGTCCACAGCAGGGCAGAAACACACACACACACTCGCACCAGTGCCAGTTTTGCCAGAATCCAATTAATCTACCTGTGTGTCTTTGGACTGCTGGAGGAAACTGGAGCACCCAGAGGAAACCCACGCAAACATGGGGAGAACACACAGACTCCAGGCAGATAGCACCCCAGATAGGTCTGGAGTTGAACCCAGTGCTATGAGGCAGCAATGTTCACCACTGAGCCACCATGCCACCCCACCCGCCAGCAGTTTATTGAGAACGCGAATACCTTGGGCCAGACTAGAGGACCACTGCCCTTACTGTGAGGCATACTGTGAGGAAGCATACCACTGCTGTGTACCTGCAATGGAGAGAACAGCATCGAAGCAGCCATCCCGGTAAGGCAGCCGAAGACCATTGCACACCTGCACCTCGTGACCGTGGCTCCTGGCTGCCTCCACCAGGGGGCGACAGCAGTCACAGCCCAGCTTGAAGGTCTCGCTGTTGATATGGAGGTATTTCCCATTACCGCAGCCTGCAGCATCGAACAAGAAGGAAAGACATTAGTTTGTCAAGTACCTCATGGGAGAAGTACTGAGAAAAATAACTTGGTTAGTAATACAGCGCTGTAGAGAAGAATGCAGCAAACATTGAGCTATTTTCTTTATTTTAATAATAATAATAATTCCTTACACTTATATAGCGCTTTTCTGCACACTCCACTCAATACTCTTTACAGGTAATGGGGACTCCCCTCCATCACCACAAATGTGTAGGCCCATGTGCTCACCACAAATTAGCTAGTGGAGGCCATGATTGGTAAAGGCCAGGGGGAATTTTGGCCAGGACAATGAGGGTAACACACTGTTTTAGAGAAACGCCCTGGGATTTTTAATGACCACTGAGAGTCAGGACCTCAGTTTCACGTCTCATCCGAAAGGACGACACATATTTTACAGTATAGTGTCCCTATCACTGAGAGCATACTGGTGCACTAGGACCCACACAGACCATGGGGTGAGCACCCCTTATTGGTCCTACTAACACAGTTCACAGAAGCTTCTTCTGTTGAAACCATAGCCTTTATATCAAATCATGAAAACACATAGTGCAACTTGTGTTTTTTAGAGTATAGTGATATTTGAAGCTATTCATTTAAAAGTAAAAATAGAATGATATTTGAAAATATTTAAATATATCATATAGTGATATATATATACACCTTTTTTATAAAGTAGCTTATGCCTGCTAAGAGTCCAGTAACACAAAGCCGGAGAAACATGAGAACATGCAAACACCTCATGGAAAAAAACTCCAGACTGATATCAAACCAATACCAAAGATCTATGAGACAGCAGCATGAACCACCACACTGAAGTGCTCTTACTTTTAGTTTTACAAAATGTATTTTTCAATGTGACTGAAATATCAGAAGCATAGTTTCCCAGTGAAAAAGCTGATCTGGGAAACCCAATTCTAACAATAAAGTTAGAATGTCACAGTCTTTTCAAGGAAAAGGCTTGGAAGTGCAATTTATCATCCATCCACCCATTTTCTAACAGCTTCAGCCTATTCTGGCTAGCAACGGGCACAAGGCAGGATACACCCTAGATGGGATGCCAGTCTATCGCAGGGCAGACACAGACACAAACATGCACACACACCAGTATGTATTTGGACTGTGGGAGGAAACTGGAACACCCAGAGGAAACTCAAATGTAAACAGAGAGAACATACAGACTCCACACAGCTAACATCCCAGGGCCTCAGCACTGCGAGGCAGTGATGCCAGCCACTGTGCCGCCTGTGTGATTTATTATTCCTTGCAGAAAGAGTTTTAGATGTAACTTCAGACTTGAGAAAATGTCTGTTGTAGCCAAAGTTCTGGTTGGTGGGATTTTAAAATCATCCTTGTATTATGATGTTTGAATCAAGAAGTTTCCATATAAAGTGTTTTTTATACATAATGTAATAAAAAAATAAAGTAATATTAAAAAATAATTCAATTAAACCAAAGTATAGAAACATTTATAGTTTTTTCAGCCTCATACAGTCATCACCCAAGAGGTAAGCCATGGAAGGAAAGTTTTGCCAAGTCCTGAAACAAAAGTCCCACTGTTGCTCATTTCTTATTTAAGCCATACTTACCCTGTGCCGTGACATCATGGCCTCCTGACAAGTCAAGACATGAATCCCCTAAAGGCTGCTGACCATAAATGTGACTGGTTTGCTGCGCAGTAGCTTAATTCTCACATACATGTCTGCTTTCGTCCCACTGCAAACCTGAATAGATGTTTTTGGCATACAAGCTTTAAAAGATTTGGGACACTTCTACTCAAGAAGTACTTAATAAAGAAGATAAAGTGAGGTTTATGATTAACTACACACTTCTGCAGCACTGGCGGTGTAAGCCAATGTTACTATTTGATTGGGATCTGGGACGCTTTTAATGAAGGCGATTAAAATCTTTTTTAGATCCCAACTGAAAAAACAAAAAGGCATCCCTCAATGTTTTAAAAAAAGTAAAGAAGGACCTTTTTCTTGGACCTAACCTAGTACTCCCCTGTTGACATTTCCATAGGTGGAACACCCCCACCACTCCAAAGCACCAAACAAACATCAGCAAACTGACAAACATTAGGCTCATAACTACAAGGGCTTTTTTCTTTGAGTATTTAAAACAGGAACATGTTGGGACTTGCTGGTGCTTGCTTCACGTATACCATATGTAGTATCTTGGAAAGCAAGGTTGCTGTGAAACTGAATCAACTCGAAAGATCAACCATCGGCTTGGACTGATAACAGCTTTTGATCTGAAAGTACAGTAAATTTCAAACAAAAACTGTGCCATTTTCAACTGTGACTGTTCATTTTTGGTCAATCTGGGATATAGTTTTTCATGCCACTCAAATGAATGACTTGCCTGCGAGTTAAGACTGGATATACAGAAAGACACACAGAGGGATAAACAGAGAGACAGGTAGCTGCACAGATAGATGGAAGCTAGATTAACTGTGTGTCTTTCCTTTAGCAGCATTAAAAAAAAAGGATCCCTTAAACATCCTAAAGGGTAGTGATCTCCAACTTTGATCATAGAGAATATCAATCTTCCAAACTTTAAATAGCACTTTAATCTTAGTTTCTCCTAAAATTGGTTCAAGTAATTCACAGACAAGTCTGGTTTTTAATGAAAACCTTAGGACTCAGTATCTCCAAGAACTACACACCCTGGAACATTTCAGTGGGGCTTCAGAAATTACTTGTGCTGTTGACCAATAATAAGAAATGGCTTTAACTTATATTGCAGTAAGTGTTTTGAGAACGAGGGACCTATGGCGTGGAAAAAGGCTATAAGCTAGCTCCTAACAAAAATGACCATGGTGCAAAGATGGAGAAAGAGCTAAGCAAAATGGACATACCGACATCAGCAATGATGCTGCCTGGCTCTTGATCCAGAAGAAACTGGCGCACTCTGGGCCAGGCTTTGTAGCGGGTATCACTGAAGTAGGGAGCTATTTTTTCATACACACTGTGAACGTGATCCCTCTCCAGCCGGCTGGCCTCCTTATCCATTGTCGACCCCCTGTTGCAATCATCGATCTGTCTTCCAGAATATTACAGCTGGAAAACAAAAGGGATTAAAAAAACTGAGACTTTTTGGCTTGGTGCTGTTTGTTTCCAGAACTGGCATGAAGATAGTAAGAAGCTCAGGGGAAATTGCTATTACAAAGCAATGTACTCTATGACGTTACATACTAATACACACACTTCATTGTTCAAAATTGAATGTTTTCAAAATTATTTTCCAACTTCTTGTTAAAGGGGAACTGCAATGTTATTTCTAGATTTCTGGGTTAGAAAGAATCGGCATTGCTTGGTGCAATCACAATTAAAGTCAGTCAAATCACAATTAAAGAAAGATGTACTGTACACAGTAACATGTAAAACCTGCAAAAGCTCAAAGAGACCCTACTACATTGTAAAGAAGCAGGCTTGTGAATACATCTTTTAATCCAATAGAAATATTGCTCTCAATATGAGAAGGTTTTGGCGACAAATACTACATTAACTCTCCATGAAGATCGTGTTGGAATATTTCTGTGGTGAAATGTCTGCCGCGCACCATGAACTTATTCCCTCATCATCACATTACACTAGTAATTTCAGAGACTAGTGAGCAGGAAGGGCCGTTTTTCATCACAATTTGCAGGAAGTCTCACACTCACCCATGGCAAGACCAGCAGATATCGACAATGTGGCGACCACACAGTACTTTCACTACGTTCACAATTTTGTGCTTAATTGTACAATTTTGAGATACCGCCGTTTCATTTATTTTGTTTCAGTGATTTTTTTTTTGGTCTGAGAAATTGTGAGTACAGCTCCCCTTTAATTTAAAAATGGAATCCCTTACACCAGTTACTTGTTACTGTAATGGGTTACCTTTAAACATAATCCCTTCATGGAAAGTAATCCCTGTAATGGAATTCAAGTGAAAGTAACAGTGGTGCAGTGGATATATCACCTGAGTGGAGTTTGTGTGCTTTCCACATCTTTGCATACGTTTCCTCCGTGGTCTCCGACTTCCTCCAACAGTCCAAAAGCATACTGGTATCTGGGAAAATTGACCCTGGTGCGAATGTGTGCAAGTGTCCATGTCTGTTTGTCTGCCCTGAGATGGATTGGTGTACTGGACTTGATGAAGCGGTTACAAAATGGATGGATTCTCCATTTCTGGTTGGAATTTCACACTCCCTGACAGATCTAGATGTAAAAGAAAGCTCTATGTTCTGGCCTCCAGTACTTTGTATAGTTCTATGCATTCTAGTTGTGACGACAATTATGAGAACATTTAAACTAGAAGAAGGCCTTCAGTTCTCCTTGCTTTCCAAATCACACATTCACTGTCCAACCAGCATAAGATTTGGGCCCAATGTTTTAAACACGAGAGGCTAGCACTCTGAGCTTTAATCAAAATTCAAGATTTGTTAATGAACAGAGTACAATATACTGTATACAACACATTCTGGTTCCCGATAAATGTAATAATAATAAAAATAATTGCTTATACTCATATACTGTAGAGCTTTTCTGTGCTTTACAGGTAATGGGGACTCCCCTCCACCACTACCGATGTGCAGCATCCACCTTGATGATGCGGCGACAGTCATAGTGCGCCAGAAAGCTCACTACGCACCTGGTATCAGTGGGGAGGATAACAGAGTGAGGAAGGCAATTCATAGATAGGGGTGATTAGGAGGCCATGATTGGTAAGGGCCAATGGGAAATTTACCTAGGATGCCAGGGTAACACTCCTACTCTTTTCAATGTAGACCCTGGAATTTTTAATGACCACAGAGAGTCAGGACATTGATTTTACATCTCATCTGAAGGATGGCGCCTTTTAACAGTATAGTGTCCCCGACACTATAATGGGGCATTAGGACCCACACAGACCGCAGGGTGAGTGCCCCTTACTAGCCCCACTAACAACTCTTCCAGCAGCAACCTTAGTTTTTCCCAGGAGGTCTCTCATCCAGGTACTGACCAGGCTCACATCTGCTGAGCTTTTGAGGGTTGTCAGCTGTGGGCTGCAGACCAATGTTAATGTAAGAATATCTAGAGAAAAAGTCATTTTCAGCACATAATGCTTGTTTGGTCAAACCGTACTATATTGCTGTCTGAAGAAATGGGAGAGGATAGGAGAAAAGTACAATGTAAAAATGGAAGCAACAATTATCAATTAGATGCCAAAGCATATAATATGCTCAGTTCTTCTTAGGAGGCATTGGTTTCTAGTTAGCTTGCTGCTTATACACGTGGCAGGAACTGACTATTCAATCAATTTATGCCAGCCAACAACTCAAGGCTAAGTTTAGTAGATCTGTATGGGCTAATTTTTCATTAGCCTTTCAGTGTAAGAGGACAGAATTTTTGGCATACTTAAAATCTCCATCAGTCCAGGAAAAATAATGTAGATTTCTTCCCTCATCCAATCTTATTTGGATTTAATGTGTTGGCAGAGTAAAACAAAAGATTTAACAAAGAGGTCTATACATACCCTGAGACACTTTCAAAACCATAGAATCACACCTGCTATATTAGGTACTGTTAATAGTGAGATAGCTCATTCAAATATTAATGGGTTAGTAAGAGACCCCTGAGGAACTTATCTGAATAACAAACTCATTTTTGCAACTGACAGGAAACAATAAACAGTTTGGCAAACACTGACAAAAATCATATTTTAACTATATATTTAGTTGATATACAGATATACTTAGGAAGGGTCTCCTGAGTGTCTCAATCAGTAAAGGTGCTCAATCAAAACACAGGTTCTGCTCTCGAATTCACAGGTTGCTGGTTCATCCCTGAGCTAAGTCATTACCCAACAATGACTGACATCTCCCTAGAAGTGCCATACAGCAGTTACCATTGAGAGATGTCAGGGGGTTTGTGACCTTGCAGTGCTCTCAGAGAGAGATACTGCTCCTTCAGTTAAAACTAACTCTGCTGTGAAACATTATTGATCTGCCTTCAAATGATAAACACGATACGGGTGAGTTCACAGTCATTATTCTTCTGCTGTGGTACAGGGGTGTATCTCTAAGCCAACTAAATAAACAATTCACAAACCCAAACACAATTAGGAGGGTATAAAATTAGAAAGAAATATTTGGAAATGACCAAATTCCTCAAAATAAAAATGGCAAAACTACAAAACAAACACAGATTACAGAATTGAGTCCAGGTTTAAGCAAGGATGATCCTATACCTAACAATAACGAGCAGTCCCTGATAACACCATTAAGAACTCCATTAACTTGAGAAGGAAGCTGAAGGTACAGTAGTTCATTTATCGAGTTACTGGTTTGACTCATTTGAGTAACTGGATTAAACTGGCTTGTTATCTATAGCTGCTACTGCTAGAAAAGAGTTAATATTAATAACATTCAGACCAGTACTGACACATCCTAATTTTATTTATGGAACCTTGCTAGCGCCTTGGGTAAAATGAGACCATCATTTGCATTAATGAGCTACGCTACAGAGCACAGTGTCTCATTTATTCCTGGTCTGCAGTCACATTCCTGTCAGGATGAATAAAGTACAAGGCAGTGAAGTACTGTCTTACCTGAAACATGAGGTTTGCTGTCTGCATTATCTACAGGTACACGCCAAACACTGTGGCACTTAGAACTACGTGACTTGGGACTCCCATCATTACTGAATCTAAATTGCAGCCCTGAGTCACTGTCTCACTGTAAAATGTCTGAGATTGGGAAATGAACAGATGAACAACCGGCTTCCTTTGAAATTTTGTTATTCCCTCTGAAGCTGGCTTCTCTTTGCATGTCATCCTCACAAAGAGAGCTCGAATATATTAGACTGCAAAGCGCTACCTTCAATTTAACATGCTGCCGTATTGTTTTAGAACGATTAGGCAAACGGTAATTGTGACCAGATCACAAAATGACAGGCTACCAAATAGCTGTAGCTAAAAAAAGTACTGTGCAGAAAACACAGTCACCCTAAATCTGTCTTTCTGTGACTGTATTGCAGGTAATGAGGATGCTTCTAATGGGTGCAAAAGTAACATTATTGTTAATCTTTTTTTCCAGCTTTTATCATGCATATGTCTCGTGCTTAAAGAAATACAGGAATAAACTTTCCAACCCATACATATCAAAGAAAATCCCGAAGAGCATGTCAGCCCATCTCCAGCAGCAATTCCAACTGAAGCACATTGCAGATATCTGTGAAGATATTGGGCCAGACAGCTGAGAACAGCATCTCTGTATGAGATGTGGACAGAGGTACAGAAGGTACCTGCTGGTATTTTTTTTTATTCACCATCCACAGCCAGTAAACTCTCTCTTAAGGAGAACGTCTGAACTGACATATTAGCAGGCTCTGATTTTGCTTTCAGCAATGCAGAAGGGAAAAGCACACTAATCATCATGCCTCTTGTGAGGTCACTTACATAAGCCTTCTTTATCACTGCGCATCAGCAAAAGGCCTGGTCTGTTACTACTTTACAGTCCTTGGGAATCAAGAAACATACCAAGTAATGGACCATTCCCTTTATCTTGGCCCTTTTATCTGTTTTCAGAAAGCTTTTCTCTAATGATGTGGTGGGACAGTGTGCAATCTTACCGTTCCTTCAGGTTCTGATTATTGTATTCATTAACCAATACTTGCTTGTTAGAATCATAATGCTTTAATGAAGCTTTTAAAGAATGAAACACTAAACAATGCTGCACCTACATTTTGAAACGCCTGTAATAGAGGTTTTTCATTGCATCGGCCTGGGCCAGAAATGTGGAAAATCAGAGTAATTCTAAAAAGAAATCCAAATGCATTTAGAGGTGTTCATTTTATTTCTTTCCAATTCCATTAAAGCAACTGAGTACAGAATATTTCAACTGAATAAGGTTCATATCTTAATAAAGGAAATTTGCTCTGCAGTTTTATTATTAGTATTGTCACCATTCCCTTTCAACCCACTCAACTTCTGTCCTTTGGTTGGTCTGACACAACAAACAACTTAATTGCTATATTGATCCTGCTAATAATAAATTGCTGTAGCAAGGATCATAACCACACCTTATACTGTGATT